AACGTGACGACACCGATCCAACACACGTCAAAAACCAGGGTGCCAGTAATTGGGAGGGTTAACCACAACGGACCAAGGATAATGATGAGCCGGAAGCACAAGCCCCTCTTCGCGACGGCGACGGCGCTCTTGTTTGGCTTCATCGTTCTCAGCATATTTGACCATCACTGGGGGACCAGTAAAGTGTTCCGAACTACCATGCAGCCTCAGGAGGGCGTTCTTGGAACACTCTAGGCAGTCGTACTCGGCGTATACAACCCACACAGGATTGCCGTAGTGGTCCTCACGCATCGCACAGTAAGTGAGGGTGCCGAACGCCGACAAAAACTCCTCCACCTGCGCCCGTGGGACGGTGATGGGAATGTTGCGAATGTACAGAGCATTAGATGGAGAGACGGCAGCTTTCCCGCTGTGCTGTGAGGGGTAAATCACCAAGTTGAAGTTGTGACGGCATGTCCTGGTGCTCCTCCGGTTAAGATTTTTAAACGCCAGCCTTCCCTCCTCCTCAGTGTTGAAGAGCACAAAACCAAAACCTTTACTTTTTCCCGTGGAGGCGTCCAGCATCACCTTGGCGCTGACGGGATGATACTCTGCGAAGATTTGCTCCAGTTCTGCGTCATTCAGGTTGCGGGGAAGCTTCGCCACAAATAGGTTCTGAAAAGTCATTGTGCTTTACCTGGTGTTATTCCTTCACGGTGCAATAAGGAATGGATCTTTGCGTTTAATTTCAGCGATGTTTTTCTTTGCTTTCTTTTTCTCAGCTAAGTGTGGAAATATACGAACACGTTGCCCAACACCACGAGAGGGGTGGGGGTGGGATGGGGGGGAATGAACAAATAGAAGAAAATAGATAAAAAAACGACGGTCAGAGGGACATAAAAAGATGCGAGTTTGGGGTAAATTTTCAGAAACAGTGCACACACCGCGGGCATACGTTATCAAATGCATAGTTATATGCCTCACAGCGTATTATTACTATTATCAATGAAGTTTGCATTAAGAGCAGGGACAAAGTAAAGAGACACACCGTTGAAGTATGCAGATGCCCCCTCCCCCCTGTTTTGAAGACCTTTCGTGAGAAACGGTCGTGATTCGCCACAAGGTGCTTTAAACCCACACCCGTAAAGCGCAACCGTCTCGCATGCAAGCTCTTAAATAAAAATAGGGAACACATTCGCGTCTATGCTAGTTGTGAGTGATGTGTGGAGCTCGGCGCAGGATAAACACCCACCCATGCCCATTAGGTCCCTCCGCGTTGGAGGATTGAAAACTCAGGGGGCATGGACGACGCAGGTGAGCGCGTTCCCTGTGGCGCCCATTCGTTTTTGTCTACTCCAATCAGCTCCGTCCGGTCGGGTCGTACGGAAAGGCGGTGTTTGCCCCCTCCGAGATTCAGGGTAGTGGGGTGATTGGTCACGCAGTGATGAACCAGTCCACGACGCCGCAGCGAGCAGTACCGGCCCCCCAAAGCTGCCACAAGCACTACTGCTGCGCAGGCGTAACTCTGTTTGCTAGCGGCAGCCGTCTCCCCAGGTCATGTGAGCAAACCTCTTGCCAGCATCCTTTTGCGCTCAGGTGGACGCCAGAGCTTTGCCAGCCGAAGTTGCAAGAGCGCTACCCCCGCATCTGCATACCTGTAGCAACGCTCATTGCTCCGTTGAGGCCCCCAAAGTATGGAGAAGTTCTTTTTTATCCATGACTACTCGCACTGTTGCCTGCTTAAAAACGGAAGGGGCGCCTAGGAAAAACCTTTTCCCAAACCGACCGTGCGGCGTTCCAAGATTGTTTTGTAAATGTTGGCTATCTGAGCTGCCGAGCGACACATGGCGAACTAGGAAGATGGCCGTCAATCTCCTCCCAAAGTTAACCAATCACGGGGTTAGTGTTCTGAGCTTTATTGCGTCCGCGGCCGCTTGGATTCCGCTCACATGTAAGCAAGAAAGCCCGGCACCGCAATGAGGTAGCCCACGACATTCCCATGGCTTGCGTGTGTAGGTGTTTTTTTTGTTTTGCCTGCTTGCCGAAGCAGAACACTGCTACCTAAACAGGTGAAGGAATAAACCTATCCAACTAACTGCAGGTGTGTATGCCTGCCAGTGCCCGCAACAGGGTCTGATGTCGCAGCTGTTTTGAGTGGGGCAAAAACAACAATGAGAGAAAGAACGCAAACACATACACAAGGGCATCGAGGGTGTTAGCTAAACAAATGGCAGAGTGCATCTTAATTCTCTCGTCCAATGGAAAACAACAACAACAACGACACAGCGACGGACGAATGCGTACTCCCAATAGATTCCCTTCTATGTAAATGAAAAAGAATACGAAACGTAATGGCGTCTTGATTTAAGGCGTCATTTTTTTTTCTTTCCTTTTTTACTTCTTTTCGGCGAGCCGCCCCTCCATTTTTATTAATGTGTACATGTACACGTGTGTATATCTACGTCCAATCATATGTATATGTATACGCTTGTATATATACACACAGACATATATATATGTGTGTAAGTCTTTTCTCGCTGCAATATAAATAAATATTTTTATATATTCCTTTTGGCCTTTACACTTTCTGTTTGCTCGCCACACCCCAATCACCCCCACGCCTGTGTGTTTTGGCTTTTCCAGGCGTGCGCTTCACTCTTCCTCATCACCCACACGTCCCCGGGCTTCTCTCGCAGTCAACGGTCCCCCTCATCAGCAGGAACACAAACATGAACCCGTTTTCTCAAAAAAATATATCAAAAACCGGCAAAACACAAAGCAGGAAAGCGAATGGAAACCGAAGCCACAGCGCAGTCATGAAGCAACATGGCAGTAAGCCCGATATTCTTGCTTCACCTCCCTCATCATTCTCATTCTTTTCCTGTGAAAGAAAGTGTTGAAGCAAATTAAGTGTGTTCTTTTTTAAGAATTTTTTCCAATGGAAAAAAAAACAAACTTCAACCATAATATGTCTTTTGTGTTGGATTTTTGAGAAACAGTTTTTGACATGCATGCATGGGCCACCATGATGCACTTGTATGTGGGCAGCAGCTGGCCAGGGGGTGCAGCTTCGGAGCGAGACGATGCACGGCACACACACACACACACACACGCATAGAGCGAGAGAAGACGGGACGGGTGTGATAAGGCAGCCATTCACTTCCTTTTATCTGAGAGAAAGGCCCACCCGTTTCCCGTGCAAATCCCCAATCACCGCTTCAGTCTTC